TGTGTGTGTGTGTGTGTGTGTGTGTGTGTGTGTGTGTGATTCTTTCACCTACTAGTGAAAATAAAACTTGACCAATATTGAACTCTTTTCATTGAGTTTGGCTGGTACATAGTAAAACTTGTGATCTGCACACATTTTTTTGGTATTCCTGGAGAAAACTTTTTTTCAGTTATTGCTTTGACTAGAATTTCTGATAGCTTCCAATATCTCTCTTAAGAATCTCTCTAAGCCTTAGGTTGTACATCCATTTTCTGATTCTCAAATCTTGTCACTCGCTTTATCATTTTTAGCTCTTAATCCATTTTCTCTGCCTTTTGGGAGAGATTTCCAATTTGTCTGGTTTTTTGGAATAACAGTTTTGCTCTGTTTTTTACTATCTCGATTATGACTTAACATTTGCTATTGCATTTACATGTAAAAAATCAATATTGAGAAAGAAAAAAGCACCCATAATCCTATTACCCAGAGATATACAACTATTAATATCTTGGAGTGTATCCTTCCACATTTTTTTCTTATCTCTCTATCCATATCTAGAACTATCTACTATAAAATCCCTTTTGTATCATATATGTGATATGAGATTTTTATCTGGTATTTCATATTAACATCCTATTTTGATATAGATGGATTTAAAAATCGTGTTGAGATACTGTTTCCTTTTATTAATAAAAATACTAAGCTTCTGCTGATTGAATGCTGTGCTGTTCTGGAACTTGCAATATGATTTTCTACATTCATTCATTTAAATGGAATGGTAATCATCTTTCAGTTTTTAAAATATTTAAGTAATCTCTACACCCAATGTGGGGCTCGAACTCACAACCCCAAGATCAAGAGTCACTGGCTCTTCCGACTGAATCAGCCAGGCACCCCTAATCATCTTTCAAATGAGGAAGCTGGGGCCTAAGAGGACAAGTGAATTGTCCAGAGTCACCCAGCTAGTAAGTAGACACCCATCTTTGAACTCAGGTCTGTCAACCACCAGAGCTCCCCATGCTTTTAGCCCCTTGGCCATAGAATGTTTTCACTTAAAAAAAAATTTTTTTTTTAATGTTTATCTATTTTTGAGAGGCCAAAACCGAGTGTGAGTGGGGGAGGGGCAGAGAGAGAGGGAGACACAGAATCTGAAGCAGGCACCAGGTTCCGAGCTGTCAGCGCAGAGCCTGATGTGGGGTCTGAACTCAGGAACCACAAAATCATGACCTGAGCCGAAGTTGGACGCTTAACCCACTGAGCCACCTAGGTGCCCCAGAATGCTTTCGTTTTTTATTGAACTTAAAAAAAAAATCAGGAATGTTAATTTTATAAAATGCTTCTTCAGCATCTTTCAAGATGACCAAATGTTTTTTCTCCTTTGAGCTGTTGGCATGATGAATTCTATTCATGGATTTTTCAGTGTGAGCTCTTTTTGCACTCCTAGATTATACCCTACTGTATGTGAGTGTATTATTCTTCTAATATTTTGCTGAATTAATTTGCTTATATTTTAATATTTTTCCGTGTACATTTATAAGAGAGATTAGTGCTTTTTTTATTGTGTTCTTTGTCAAGTTTTAGCATTTGTCAAGTTTTGCCGGCTTTGGAAAAGGCATCAGAAAAAAACTCTTCTTTTTCTCTGCTCTGGAACAATTTAAATAGCATAATTATCATTCTTTGAAGGCATGCAAAACTGCTTTTGGGGGCCTGCACTTTCTTTGGGGGAAATTTTAATGATATTCCCAATCTTTTCCATACTTCTTGAATGAGTTTTGTTAATTTGTGTTTTCGTAGCAAATATTTTGATATTTTTCTAATTCAGTAGCCTAGAGACATACGTTTTAAAACTTTCCTCAGTATCTGTGTAACTGTGCTTTTTCTTTCTTCATGTTATGTGCTTCTGGTTTCTTTTTAATTAATTATCCTTGCTGGAAGTTTATTTTACTGGTTATGACAATCCGTTCTTGAATTAATCAATTCCAGTGTTCTGTACTTTTGTCATTTATTTTATGATTTTATCTTTATTAATACCACCCTCTTGCTTTCCTGAAGCCTTTTTTTAGATGAGTTCAGAGCTTAGTTTTAATACTTTAAGCCTATGAATTTTCCTCTGAGTATAACTTTGGTCACATCCAGTATGTTTTTATACATCATACATCTCATTAGTATTGTCACTTTTTTTGGAGATACTTACATGCCCTAAAATTTCACATACCTTTTGAAGTATACAATTCGGTGCTTTTTCATATATTCACATGGTTGTGCAGCCCACATTTTCATCACCCCTAAAAGAAACCCATTAATAGTTACTCTCTCCATTCCTCCTGCCCTGTCTAGCACCCTCTAACCACTAATCTATTTTCTGTCTCTATAGATTTGATTATTCTGGGCATTTCAGATACATGGAATTATACAACATGTGAATTTTTGTGTCTGCCTTTTTTGTCTGTTTAACATAATGTTTTCAAGGTTTGTCCATGTATCAGTGTATTATTCCTTTATATGGCTGAGTAATATTCCATTGTATACCACAATTTTGTTTATCCATGCATCAGTTTATGGACTTGGGGCTGTGTCTGCTTTTTGGCTATCATGACTAATGCTGCTATGCATATCCATGTACATGTTTTTGTAGAAACATGTTTTCACTGTTTTTGACTGTATGTGTAGGAATGAAATTGCTAGGTCATATGATGTTATAGACTGAATTGCGTCTTCCCCAAATTCATAATGCTGAAGCCCCAACTCCCAATGTGACTGTGTTTGGAGATAGGGCCTTTAAAGAAGTAAGTAAGTTTAACGAGATGTTAAGGACGGGGCCCTGGTCCCATAGGACTGGTGTTCTTACAGAAGAGGAAGACACCAGAGCTGCTCTGTGCACACAAAAGAAAGTCCAGGAGAGGACATAGCAAGAAACGGTGTCTGTAGGTCAGGAGGAGAAACCCTACCAGAATACTATGGACACAAACCTGTAAGCATCTTGGGGCGCCTGGGTGGCTCAGTCAGTTAAACGTCCGACTTCGGCTCAAGTTATGATCTCACAGTTTGTGGGTTTGAGCCCAGCATCAGGCTCTGTGCTGACAGCTCAGAGCCTGAAGCCTGCTTCAGATTATGTGTCTCCCTCTCTCTGCCCCTTCCCTGCTCACACTCTATCTCTCTCTCTCTCAAAAGTAAATAAACATTAAAATTTTTTTAAAAAAATTGCTAAAA